TTTAATAGCCAGTCTTACTTTTTAGAAGGTGTCCAGCAGGCACATATAGTCACCAAGGTGATCAAAAGAAAGATGCCTCCAGTAGAAAGGATGATATAAAGGGAACTTCTTTCTGTTTAGAATGTACAAGATTACAATTAATGAACAACACAGGCACTAACAAAACAAAATGTGCAACTAGAGCGAATGGTATAACACACAGTATTCCTTCTCTTTATGCCCATGTGACACACATATACCTTCTGGGTCTGCTTTTCACTATTTTTGTACTAGTTTGTACAAGCCTTTCACATCACTATCACATTATCATTGATGAGCAATGTATATGTTGTCAACCCTGCTTAAACTTCATCTTTTAACAACAGTCAACTGTGGCCAACTGTGGTTCATGTAGTGTTTTTTTTATATTACTTTCCCGCTCCTCCAGAGATCTGAGTCATGAGATGTTACTTACTTACTGAGCTGTGTCTTTGACGACCTGCTCCATGCCTCATGTGTCTGCTGTGAATGGCAGATACGCAATGCATTATGCAGGTCTTTCAAAGACACCTTTCTTTGGCTTTCAAAAACCTCAGACTTTTCCTCCATCCCTACCAGAAGGCAGACATTTGTAATTTCTGAGAGAAATCTGTCAAAAGATTTAGGGAAAATTTAGCAATGTAGAAAAGCATCCTCTCTGATCAACTGAAGGAACTATTTTCTTTACTTTATGTAGACCTGCCGTGTTCTTACAGCTGCATAGTTATATAAGTTATGTCACCCTCAGGACAGCCTGAACCAGTCTTTCAAATGAGCTATTAAACTGTTAACGGAACAAAAACTAAACACCTGAAATTATACTACTGAATTTAATATATTAGGCAGTGCACTGCAATACTTAGTAGTCAAAATCACCACCTTTATTAAATTATGCAATTATTTACAGGCCTTGAGATGAAACTTGTTTTGAACTGAGGCTATAAAAATAAAACTGAATTCAACTGAAATCTGCTGCCCATGTCTCTGTGTCTACCATGATGTTTTTAACCGTTGTTGACATTGCAATAACTAACTAAGGCAGTGTTACTTACTGTATACAGTCAGTCTAATTGGCAGACTTGTCATATTTCCCACCGGATTCTCCACTGTGCAGCTGTAGACATCATCATCTGCCATCAACACCCGCTTGATGGTCAAAAGCTTCTGATCAGGAGAAAAGACGAACCTTGTCTCATTGGTCAGGAGTTTTCCGCCTTTGAACCACCTGTATGTAGTCCTGGTTCCATTGTCATGAGAGCAGTTGAGGACAACATTTTCGCTACGCTCCAGTAATGATGAAGACTCCATGTTGATATAAGGCCTGGATATAGGTTCTGGATACAAGAGACAGTAGATACAATAGTTCTGGATATGTTAGCAGATAAAAACAATAAACATGCTTCTGTCCTTTTTTGAAGTCGTGTCTTTCTTGTAGTCTTTACACATGCAAGAAACACTGAAGGAACTTTTGAAATAAATTATGCCAAGAATATTAGTTTTTTTTTTCTACAGGGTGGGCCATTTATATGGATACACCGTAATAAAATGGGAATGGCTGGTGATATTAAAGTCCTGTTTGTGGCACATTAGTATATGGAGGGGGCAAACTCCTCAAGATGGGTGGTGACCAGGGGGCCATTTAGAAGTCGGCCATCTTGGATACAACTTTTGTTTTTCATAGGAAGAGGGCCATGTGACACATCAAACTTATTGGTAATGTCACAAGAAAAACAATGGTGTGCTTAGTTTCAAGAAGTAAGTCTATTACTTATAATTTCTCAGGGAATAACTTCTATCATAACATCAGACAATATATTAATCTTCTCCTTTTGCATGGTCCCTTTAGGGGTCGCCACAGCCTCAAACTATCCCTTTTCCACTAAAGGCACAAATCTTCTTTGTGGTCTAAAGTTGCCTCCTGCCTGGTAACTTTAATATCCTTTGTGTAATATATCCACTATCCCTCATTTTGCACATGTTCAAACCACCTCAGCCTTGCCTCTTCAACTTTGTCTGCAAACTGCTCAACCTGAGCTGATGTGAATGTCTCTGCTGGCCACACCTATACTCACTATTATATATTTGTTTTACATACACAGATAAAAGGTTTGGTGTGCATTCATTTAGTTTGGTTGACCTCTCCATTCCTGTTATCTTCACCTTTTACTGTGAGATAAATTAAGTCTTTTATCAGTTTATATAAGTGTTTTCCAAAACCTGACTAGAACTATCCATCCCATCCATCCATCTTCATGCGCTTTATGCGAGGCCGGGTCGCGGGGGCAGCAGCCTAAGCAGAGAAGCCCAGACCTCCCTCTCCCCAGCCACCTCCTCCAGCTTATCCGGGGGAACACCAAGGCATTCCCAGGCCAGCCAAGAGATATAATCTCTCCAGCGTGTCCTGGGTCTGCCCCGGGGCCTCCTCCCGGTGGGACATGCCCGGAACACCTCACCCAGGAGGCACCCAGGAGGCATCCTTGTCAGATGCCCGAACCACCTCAGCTGGCTCCTTTCGATGTGGAGGAGCAGCGGCTCTACTCTGAGCCCCTCCCGGATGGCCGAACTTCTCACCCTATCTCTAAGGGAGAGGCCAGCCACCCTTCGGAGGAAGCTCATTTCTGCCGCTTGTATCCGCGATCTCGTTCTTTCGGTCACTACCCACAGCTCGTGGTCATAGGTGAGGGTAGGGACGTAGATCGACCGGTAAATTGAGAGCTTCGCTTTTACACTCAGCTCCCTCTTCACCACGACGGACCGGTGCAGCGTCTGCATTACTGCAGCTGCAGCCCCAATCCGTCTGTCGATCTCCGGCTCCCTTCTCCCATCACTCGCGAACAAGACCCCGAGATACTTGAACTCCTCCACTTGGGGCAGGAACTCATCCCCGACCCGGAGTGGGCACTCCACCCTTTTCCGGCTGAGAACCATGGCCTCAGATTTGGAGGTGCTGATCCTCATTCCCGCTGCTTCACACTCGGCTGCGAACCGTTCCAGTGCGAGCTGGAGGCCCTCACCCGATGAAGCCAACAGAACCACATCATGCAAAAATCAGAGATGAGATTCTGAGGCCTAAAAATTATGAACAGAACCGGAGACAAAGGGCAGCCCTGGCGGAGCCCATCACCCACCGGGAACGAGTCCGACTTATTGCCGGCAATGCGAACCAAGCTCTTGCAACGGTTGTATAGGGATCGAATGGCCCGTAGCAATGGGCCAGACACCCCATACTCCCGCAACACCTCCCACAGGACACCCCGAGGGACACGGTCGAATGCCTTCTCCAAGTCCACAAAACACATGTAGACTGGTTGGGCAAACTCCCATGCACCCTCAAGTATCCTTGAGAGGATAAAGAGCTGGTCCAGTGTTCCGCGACCAGGACGAAAACCGCATTGTTCCTCCTGTATCCGAGGTTCGACTAGCGGACGAACTCTCCTTTCCAGCACCCTGGCATAGACTTTCCCAGGGAGGCTGAGGAGTGTGATCCCCCTGTAGTTGGAACACACCCTCCGGTCCCCCTTCTTAAAGATGGGGACCACCACCCCGGTCTGCCAGTCAGGGGTACTGCCCCTGATCTCCACGCAACATTGTAGAGGCGTGTCAACCAAGACAGTCCTACAACGTCCAGAGCCTTCAGGAACTCGGGGCGGACCTCATCAACACCAGGGGCTCTGCCACCAAGAAGTTGTTTAACTGCCTCAGTGACCTCGCCTCTGGAACTATTTATTTATTTTGTTTATGCCAGTGGTTTGCACTCCATTTAAATTCAACAAGCAAAACAGCACTTGCTGCTCATGCCAGCTCAAACTATTGTGGAAAAAGTTTGAGCTGGCATGAGTGAATGAATAGTGGTATTGTAAAGCGCTATATAAATCCAATCCATTATTATTATTATTATTATTATTATTATTATTATTATTATTATTATTATGAGCATTTGCATGCTCATCTCAAATAATATCGATGAAAAAGTCTCAACAAAATGTCTCAGAGCCTAAAAAGTAAAGGAAAAATAAAGTTAAAGTTAATTATTGTTCCATAAAATTATGCTAATAAAAATTAGATGATTTACATCTGTGTGCCTGTCTGCTAACAGCCGACATATCAGTACAGCCAAATAATTCATGGAGTGACTTCATGAGATTCCCGGCATTCTTTCAGCCACCTACAACTTGAACAGTAGCCCAATCAGGCAAAGAGAAAAACATGTGAATGTGTAAGGACTTTAAAACTGTCCGGAAAGAATGCTGATTACAAAGCGTGAACAGTGCAGTACAGTTTAATAAAATCTTTTGCATTGTGGGATAAAATGTTTGCAGAAGCGCCTGAGTGTTTGAGTACGTCTGAAACACACAATGATTCAGAAACCTGAACTCAGAGCAAGACTAATGGTGTGCAATATGAACAAAGAGCCACAAATACTCATAGGCAGCATAGCAGGAGGAAAGAAAGATAAATATGAGTGTTAAATTATAGTTCAGCAGGTTTAGCTCCAAATTTTCATGCTGAACAGTTCACTAATGGCTTTTTTAGTCTAGGTAAGCGTTTTGAATCATCATCGTTTAAACTTATAGTTCAGACAATAAACACTTCTCTCTCTATATATTAAAACTGATAGTGTTGCATTCTGCAACAGCAGACAAGGGTTAATAAAATGTGCTTTTACACCTGAAAACATTACAGAATTGTACAAATGGACATGTCCTCCTACCATCCACAGTGAGTGTGATGCTGCCCTCTCCTGGAAAGGTATCATCTGTGATGGAGATCTCTACGTCATATGTTCCATCATCAGCAAATCTGAGGTTGTGGAGAAGCAGAGTCCCATTCCCAAATACCAGGATACGATCCCGGTACTCGGGCCTCAGCGTCCCAATGATGTCCGTTCCAATCGACTGGACAACCGTGACAGATTTTTCCCTTTTAAGTAGCCACTTGATAACTGGCAGGTCTAAGCTGAAACTATCATAGCGGACTGACAGAAGGGCCTCCCCTCCTAATTTACCTCTAATGAGAGTATTTGGGATAGTCATATTCACTGCCAACACTCCACCTGCACAGAAACAAAGAAGAAAGGTCCCTGAGAAGTTTCTTTTCCATTTTAAACAAATTCTAGTATCAGTTAACTTTTACAGAGTTTTAAGATGACTGGCTTTTTGGGGCGCCAGATTTTGGGGAACAATGTTTTTCCATCAAATATTTCTAATGCACTTTACAACAACTACACTGGCATGAAAAATAGCATCATGCAGCTCTACACCAATAACTGCAGAAAACAGTCATTGCTCTACACCAACACTCTCCACCATTAATTACAGGCGCCTACACCCAGATAATCAGAACTCAATCAGCAACTCTGAAAAAAGGTAAAACTTTTTCATCTTGAAAAATCTTTTTTTTACAATAATATTTTTTTTTCTACTGAGTATACTTAATAAACTGGTAACTGAATACAGAAATGTTGTGTAGGCTACTTTAAAATCATCCCACTCCACTATTTCATAGCCAATCTCAACAGATTTAAATTCTCTAAACACTTCAAAGACTGCAAGAGTTTCTTGTTAGTTTTAGGTCATCTTCTTAAGAGAACAAATTTTGAATGATTAGGTTTATCTGGGCAGCATTATCAGCAGTTTAAGTTAGTTGAACAACAACTAATCATGTAAAACAGATTATGTGACTGCGCTTGTTGCCACACCTCTGTAACTGGTCCTGTAGTTTCCTCTGTTGCAACTGCAAGCAGCGCAACCTGTAAATGGGCTCCCCCCAAATAAAGACTGGAGGTTGCATAACTGGTATGATATTCCAGTCAAAACTAGATGTGAGAATCTTTCTAATGTTTGATGCTTTTCAAATATTTCAGTGAAGGTTTTTGCTTCAACATGTAATTTTTAGACTTCTTTATTTATGCTATTCTTTTGTCTGCTTACTTCCCTTGGCTGCCCTTCTTTAGCTTGGTGGTTGAGATACTGTTGCCTCCTAACTTTTCCCAGTGAGTTATTTATATGACCCTGAATTCATATCTACAGCAATGTAAGGTTGACCTTACAACATAAAATACTACAAGACTGTTTTGTGATTTGGTTGTATAAGATTAAAATTCTATTTAAAGTTTAAGATTATTTTTGTGGCTACTTTACATTTGTACCATAAAAAGAAAGATTTTGTTTTTAGTGTTTTTGTACTTAAAATGTCTTTTTAAAATAGTTGAAGTTATTTTTCTGCTGCCGTGAGTTTCCTGAATGTTACTGATTAAAATAAAGATAATGAAGCTTTAAGTTGAAAATCTTAGAAATATGGTACCAGATTCTTGCTCTGGATGGCATTACCTTGTCCCCCAGTAACACTGTGAGGAACCTTCATAATTCATTTGACCATAATATGTCCTTCAATGCACATATTAAAAAAAAAAAATAAAAATGTAGGACTGCTTTGTTCCATTTGAGCAACATCTCTAAAATTAGAAACATCCTGTCTGTGTTGTACAGTTATTTCATTTTTAACCTTAATTTATATTTTATTCCTTCCTAGTTAAATTTACCCTTTTTAATTTTTCATATTTATTTCCTATCTTATTCATAGCCTTTCCTTTAGGTCACGAGCAGTTGTCCAAGTATTTCACTGCATATCGTACTGTGTACGTGACAAATAAAATTTGAATTTGAATTCTCAGAGTGATGCTGAAAAACTAGTTCAGTGCAGCATTTATTACTATCAGGATTTCCTAAAAACTCCCTGAAAAGCCTTCAGTTAATCTAAAATGCTGCAGCAAGAGCACTGACAGGATATTTCGCCTGTATTGGCTTCCCTTCAATGGCTTCCTGTTAAATCCAGAATTGAATTCAGAATCCTGCTCCTCACATACAAGGTCTTAAATAATCAGGCCCCATCTTATCTTAATGACCTTGTAGTACCATATCACCCCATTAGAGCACTTCGCTCTCACACTGCAGGCCTACTTGTTGTTCCTAGAGTATTTAAAAGTAGAATGGGAGGCAGAGCCTTCAGTTTTCAGGCCCCTCTTCTGTGGAAGTAGCTTCCAGTTTGGATTCGGGAGACAGACAGTATCTCTACTTTCAAGATTAGGCTTAAAACTTTCCTTTTTGCTAAAGCATATAGTTAGGGCTGGATCAAGTGACCCTGAATCCTCCCTTAGTTATGCTGCAAGTGTAGGCTGCTGGGGGATTCCCATGATGCATTGAGTTTTTCCTTTTCAGTCACCTTTTTCACTCACTATGTGTTAATAGACCTCTCTGCTGATATTAATCTCTGGCTCTGTCTTCCACAGCATGTCTTTTATCCTGTCTTCCTTCTCTCACCCCAACCGGTCGTAGCAGATGGCCGCCCCTCCCTGAGCCTGATTCTGCCAGAGGTTTCTTCCTGTTAAAAGGGAGATTTTCCTTCCAACTGTCGTCAAAGTGCTTGCTCATAGGGGGTCATATGATTGTTGGGTTTTTCTCTGTATGTATTATTGTAGGGTCTACCTCACAATATAAAGCGCCTTGAGGCGACTGTTGTTGTGATTTGGCGCTATATAAATAACATTGAATTGACCCTAATTTAACTAAAAAAATGATACTCTTGAGATAAGAAATGTTCTGAAGCAAATGCACAAACCTAGAAAAAGTAAGTAGAAAATTAACACACAAGAATAGCGAGGCTATGCATAATCTTAAAATATAAGTTTATATTATATCTATGAATCAGACTGAGTTATCTTAACTTTTTACACTCTATGCTGAAAAATGTAAATTCTGCAAACTATAAATATGTAATATTCATATAACCAGCAGTATTTAAAGAGGAAGTGTTGCAACTGGACAGTCCTGAAAGCCTAGTGACTTTTTTTAAGACATAAAAACCCTTAATACACCTTCCAGCTTGACAAAGTTGATAATGAATGTATTGTTTACAATTGGAAAGCTTCATTGATTTAAAAGTAACTACACACCCATCTGTTTTTGAATATTATACCTATCTGAATAGAATAAGGGCCCAACTAATCTACTGCCAATGAAGAATTTGTGCACAATTAAATAATTTATATAAATATATTATAATTTATCAGTATTTTAACTTTGGGAAGTGATACAGTGGTTAGATGAAGACCAAATACTTTATCATAGTGGGAAAGCGGGCACTGCACCCCGTCACTGTTGTATACTGGAAGCCTTTGCATGACAGATCTATATTACCATGGTGATGGCTTTTAGACTTTGGGATGGGCCAGCATGAACCAACAAAAGTGAGGATTGTTTGTTGAAATTTCCTTCTTGGCAGTTCATGAAAAGAGCAATGGGAGCAATCCAGACACCACGCTAGCTCTGCAGAAACAGAGCAGCTCAGTAACTCTGTTGCTAACCACAACAATGGCAGGACAGTGATGACACCCAACCACAGCTGAAAACACTGGCTCTAGTCTGTGAGCCCTTATTACTTAGAAGAATGGGCACAAAACACCCCCAGAACCTCATGTAATTAAATTTAAATATATATTCTCTGCAGCCGTACTTTTTGTAATACCATTGAAACGTTAAAATAGGCAAAATGTTGCAAAAATGATCAGAAACTAGTGATCATACCGTATTTCTCAATACTATATCTAATTAGATCAAAGTACGCAACCGTATCTGGAGCTGTTGTTGCCATTTCCATCCACGTCACAGCTGGCAATTATAAAAACTCCACCTGCCCCTATAATTCAGTTATTCTGAAAATCTTTCTGTTAATTTGCAAAATCTACTAGAAGCATCTGTTCATTTAATGACTTGGTGATGCAATAACATGAAAAATGACATTTAAAAAGAAGCAAATTTCAGTTTTCTAAAGATTTGCAAATTTCAGCAGTACATGTAGACAAATGTATCTGCTACACACCGTTTTATGCACAAATCCTAATAATCCAGTACATTAAGAATATATAGACTTGTACTAGGCAAGTATTTGCTCATCTGGAGAATAAGTTTGAAGCACCCATATAAAAGAAGGTAACATACCTGAATTGCAGAAACCAAAACACACAAGCAAAAAAATCTGGTAAATTATTTTGTTTTTCAATGGAGCACCCTTCTCTTCCTTCATCTTGGGTCTCAAGCTTTGTTTTCCTCCCAGACGAGCAGCATGATTTGTGCTTCTGGGTTGGACGGAGGACACAGTCATTCATTCAGGCTCTGCTGGAACTGAGTACATGTTGTTCACAAAAGCCACTGTAGAAAGAGGACAAAAGCGCGCGTGTGTGTGTGTGCGCGCGTGTATAGATGGGTCTACATTTTTATTGGGAAAAACTAAATTTCATATCAACAATGCTTCACTGTGGTGAGATTTCAGTGTTCATAAATTAACAAAATACAAACATTGAGATTAGGCATCCTGGACCAAACATTTATCATTGACAAAGCACCCAATGTGTAGCCTAGACAATTTTATCCATTGTAATCTGCTTCCATCTAAACTTTTAAAGACAATGCACATATAATCTACAATCATACTAACATACACTATTTTTAGACAGAAAGATACCAGTGGTTTAAAAGAGAAGTAAATAAATAAACAGAGGTGCTTTCTATTTTATGAGAAAATGCTGCATTGTGTAAAAACCCTGAAACTCCTTTTCCAGTCATAGTCACATTAGTCATGTGTTACAACCTGTGTGGGGGCCAGGACATGGCCACAAGAAGGCAACCACTTCTTGACCATGTCAACCACTGAGAAAACCCATAGTTGCATTTATTACTCAAAAATAAATAAATAAAAATTAAAAATCCTGAACAAATAAACTAGTTTTTCGGTTCAGTTCAGTGCAGCACCATCTGCTGGCTTGAGTGTTTAAGTTTTAGATAAAGGGTGATCCAGTGTCCATGTGTTTGATTGATATTCCTTGGTTTTGTATCAGTTGGTTGTTGTGTTTATGTTACTGTTCCGTCCCTATTGGACTGTGTTTTGGGGTTAAAAGAATATTTAGTTTAGGTTCTCTGAGTGGTTTACGTTAGGTTGTTTAGTTCCTTGCTGTTAGTGATCTTTTTTTTTTAACACCTCCCTCAGTGTCTACTCAGGTGTTGTGTTTTGTGAGTCTTGTCTCTGTTTCATTCCTCCAGTCCCAAGTGTTAAGCTTACATGTCTTGAGTTCAGCCTGTGTGTTTCCTGCCTTACTTTGATAATCCCTGTCCTTTGTCAGCATGTTCTGCTTTGCTTCCTTGATCTCGTTATGTGTAATTAGTGGTTTCTGTTTCTCACTCCCTCGTTACCACCTGTGTATTTAAGCCCTTTTCCCCCCCTCTGCTCGTTGCTGGTCCACCTGTGTATAATTCTTTGAGTCATCGTGTTCTAGCTGCAGGTTTGTTTAGCTAGCTTTCCCAATTTAGGTTTTTCCTAAGTTTCTGTCCTTGCCATTTCCACTTCTGTTTGAATTGTCACCATTTGAAAATAAAAGTTAACTCGCAGTAAAGCCAGTGCCAGCACTTGGATCCTTCTCTTGTAACTCCACACATCTGTTGCTGAAGCTGTGACAAAGGGTGGGTAATTGTATGATCATTAGTTTCATTGCTTTGTGTTTTCTTTCATTATCTTGTATTCTCTTTTTTTCCCCCCCTCATTGTGCTTTAACAGTTGCAATATAGCATACTGATTACATTGGTGGGCCCAAGGAGAAATCTTTTTACTTTTGCAGTGGCTTAAACCACTTAGAGTCACAATGTCATTATCTTTGAGCAGTTTAAGTTCACCTATTCACACCTTTGTGTTCTAATCATCTGTATAATGGCCATCTACATCAATTATTCATGTGTACGTTAAGCCTCCACTCAAAGCTGAGTCTTACACTCGAGAGTTTAAAAAAAAAAAAAAAAAGACATTAAAATGAAGATAATATTGAATATTAATTGTGATAAATGCCATCCATCCATTCGCTTCCGCTTATCCTTTTCAGGGTCGCGGGCCTGGAGCCTATCCCAGCTGTCATAGGGCGAAAGCGGGGTACACCCTGGACAGGTCGCCAGTCTGTCGCAGGGCTAACACATAGGGACAGACAACCATTCACACTAGTGACAATTTGGATTAATCAATTAACCTATCCCCACAAGCTGCATGTCTTTGGACGGTGGGAGGAAGCCGGAGTACCCGGAGAGAACCCACGCAAACACGGGGAGAACATGCAAACTCCACACAGAAAGACCCCGGCCTGATGGTAATTGAACTCAGGACCTTCTTGCTGTGACGGCAACAGTGCTAACCACCGTGCGCCCTTGTGATAAATGGAAAATTAAAGATTTTCCATTGTGATAAATGGAAAATCTTTAATATATTGTTTAAGAAGCTTGGAAAGAAAAGCGCCTGGACTTTAAGTTGCTCGAAGATGTTTCACCTCTCATCCGAGACTTTTGCAGTGGCTTAAAACCACTTAAAGTCACTCGTTAATATTGTAATATATTTGGAATAAAATGATGTAATACATAGTGGAAACTAAAATCAACCATTGGAATTTAAAAATTACCAATAGATAATTAAAAACCGTTATCACTACATAGAGCCTGAAGACATTACAATAGTCAGTCAGGCAACCTAAAAAGAGATTAAAAGAAACCAACCTGAAACTTTTAAATTCAATCAACAAGATCAAAAGGCATTGCATAAAAGCCTCACCCTGCTCCAATTCCCTGAAAAGGATTACGGTAAATGTGAACAGAGCCCTGTAATCACTCATGCTAATGAGCCACCTGACTAATCAGGTAGGCTGAGCAGTCGCTAGCAATGCAGACAATGGCTACAGGTCACTATAAATTCAGGGTCATCTGTAGTCTGCCTTTCTTTCAACAAACAGCACAATGGCAACACAGAACACATCAGTCAAGCTCTGCAAGG